CTTCGCTGTTGTAGTCATGGGCTTCGCGTGTTATATCGTCAGGATCGGGTTGGTGTAGAGGTACGAAGGTTGGAGTTCCGAAGGAAACTGTAAGGGGGATGCTTGGAGCGGAGTCCATTTGGGTGACAGCAGGTGCGTCTGCATCCTCAGCCAGGTCAGCTTCGTCGTGTGACGTGGCGAAGCTGCGGTGGCCCTCGAAGAGCCTCTCGGGTATTTTGTCGGCTTCCTGAAGCTCCTTGAAAAGGGGGAGGGTCAGCTTCTCGTAGAAGATGCAGTCACGTGATTTCGTCACCTCGTGTGTCGCGTAGTCCAGCACGATCCACGCCTTGAATTCCTTTTCGATTCCGAGGTGGATGCCCCATCGCGCGCGGTCAGCAAACTTTCCGGTCCTTGTGGTGTGGGGTCTGTACTGTACCATGCAGCCGAACACCCGAAGCAGACGTGTATCTGCTTTTCTGCCCGTCCATGCCCGGTAAGGAGAATTGTTGTCCTTGAGGCTTCGCGAGGACAGCAAGTTGTGCAGCCGAACAGCGTGATTCATCGCAAACGGCCAGTATTTGGTTGGGATGGCCGACTGCTTCATCAGAGCCCTCATCCGCGTGGCGAGGCTCCTGTTTGTCCGTTCTGCTACGCCTTGCTGTTGGTGAGCGTAGGGCAGGGACACCAAGTGCTCGATTCCCTTCTGCTTGAAGAGCTCCTTGAACTCGTCTGAGAAGAACTCCAGGGCTCCATTCGTTTGCCAGGCCTTGAGCTTTAACCCAGACTGTCGCTCAGCCCGCTTCATCCACGCAATAAAGCACTCGAAGGCCAGTGACCTGCAGTCGGTGTTGATGGCCCAAACGTAGCGCGTAGAAGCGTCGATGAAGGTAAGCGTGTACTGCTCCCTATCGAGCCCTTCCTGACTGAGCACCATGAAGTCGCTGTAGACCTTGTCCAGCGGCTTGTAGCGTTCGTATCCCGGAGGTAGGTCGGGGAACGGCTTGTGATTGAGTGATGCAGTCGGGCAGACGATACACGGTGGATTGGGAGAATCCGCGGTGAGGGAACCGTCTCGGGGGAGGAGAAGCGCGTCGTTGTCGAATACTCCAGCCTTGAGTGAATTTTTTAGTGTGGCGTGAGAGGGATGTCCGAGTCGTTGGTGCCATGTTGCTGGGTCCGCACGGTAACCGACTGTCTTCTGATAATATTTCGTGCTGCTTCGTCGTTTGCCTTCCCTTCAGGTCCCGCGTCGGTGGCGCTGTCTGTGTCGGTGGCGAGTGCGCGAATTGCTTTCCTCTCCAAAAGCGCGCGGGGAATACCGACGATGTCATCGGTGTCGCCAGCTTTGGCGTGGTCTCCAGTGACAAGCAGGCATCGGTTGGGCCAGTCCCGAGCGGGGAGTCCCGTCATGGGGATTCTGTAGTAACTATATTCGGCACCAATAACCTCAATTTGTTGGGGTCCTTGTTCAGGGGGCTCCGGCTCCTCGGTAGGTTCAGGTAATTCCGCTGGTTCTCCCATGAATTCGTAGGTTTCTTCTTCTTCTGACTCTTCTGGCATTGGTTCGGGTGTGTCAGGAGCGTATTGATCTGGAAGAGGAGGCCCTCCCCAGCAGGTACCGCGAGTCGCCCAGTACGGGTCGACGATGGCGACTTCCGCGGGAGGAAGGCCGGCTGCTACGGCGTGCCCTTGTTCCGCTTCGCCCGAAGTGCCCCAGCCTCCTCCGGTATCCCACGTTGCTCCGGTCGTCTCTGCTTCTCCAACTGCCGCTCCTGCTGTTTCTTCGACTGCTGCGCCAACTTCCTCGGTTGGGGCAGGAGGAGTTCCCCAGCCAGTCGCAGCTTCTCCTTCCGTTGCGACGGCACCCCACCCGCTTGTGGCTGCTTCCTCTGGAGTCAGAACTTCACCCCATGATCCAAGCGCAGGTCCAAAAGTGTCCCAGCCTGTCCAGCGTGTTTCCGCTGGCGTACTTTCCACGGCTGGTTGTGTTGCAGGGCCTGACGTGCCACTGTCTTCCTCCATTGTGGCAGGTCCGGTCTCTGCAGGATTGGAGGTCGAGGCGGTCGGGACGGTTCTCAAGCGCAGAAGGCCGTCTGAGGCAGGACGCTCGAGATCCATCTCGTCCGGATGTGACCATGTTGGCGCCTCCGTGGGAGTCGTTTTTAGGAGTAACGTGCGGTGGGAATCGCCGGTTGTGCCCTGAGCCGAGAACTGCAGCACGAAGACTCCGTCGTCGTCGATCGCCTTTCCGATGTAAGTCTCGTTATGGAAGAGTTCGAAGGTCTTCTCCTTGCGGTTGCTGCAAATGTCGATTCCGCACCGCATGAGTTGAGCCGACGAGAGCAGGTTGTATTGGAGATCTGGCGCGACGAGGACGTCTCCGATGTGAATGGTGAATTTCGTATCATTTGCTTCGAAGTAGATTTCCCCAATCTCATGTGACTTCATTTTCCCATTGTTGGCGGCGGTGATTTCGCAGGGTCGTCGCATGCGCCGAGAGTTGCTGATAAACCTCGGTGATCCCACCATGTGTTGCCCGCAGCAACTGTCGAGGTACCAGGTGTCCAAATCCTTGTGGCGCTGGCGGGCAAGGTTGGCGATCTTGGGTGTGACCATGCGGTCAAAGTCGCCGGTGTATGGCGAGAGGGCGAAATATCTGTTTGTGGAAATGCTCGGCGGTGATTCCGGAGTAGGAGGAGGGAGCTCGAAGTCGGGAGGAATGTCAGAGGGGCGAGTGGACCAGGTGAGGACCGTTGGATCATTATCTGCATCAGGCGCAACGGGGTTAGGATTGTCGGAAGGGAACGAAATTCGATCCCGATCCCAGTAGCGGAACCCTCTGCTGCGGCGAGCCATGCAGCTTATGATTGTTCCCTTCCCTTTGTCCTTTGCCGTGATGACCGCAGGGGACTGAGGAGTACTGGCGACCGAAGGAGGCGACACAATGGAGGTTGCGGCAGAAGGCTTGGGTTGAGTCGAGGGTTGCTGGTTGGAGGCGTTGCGCCGTTCATCAGCAGCCTGACGCTTGTAGCACTGGTCGATGGAATGGCCGGACTTCTTGCAGTATTCGCAGAAAGCTCCCTTCTTTCCGCGTTGCTCCCCTTGAGATCCTGTGTAGAAGGCTAACTTCTCCCGCTTGACATTCTTCTCGTTGTACAGGTCGATCTCCTTCTGCTCCGAAAGAAGCGTGGCGCACAGAGCCGACTCCGATATGCTTGCTCGGGCGCGAAGGAGTGACTGGCACTGACGCCAGGCGGGGTTAAGGCCTGAAATGACCATTGAGATGAACATGTCGTCGGGGACAGAACCACCGCACTTTTTAACTTGATCGCACAGATTGCGGCACCGGTTAACATACGGTCCCGCTTTCTCCCCTTGCTTCATTTTAACCGAAGTCAGTTGACTGAGCAGGCGACTCATTGTAACTGGATCTGTTGCCATGTATGAGTTGCGCAGGTGTTCCCAGGATGCGTGCGCGGGAGCCCACTCCGTCTTGTACGGACGAATGCCGAGCTGCTCTTCAGGTGAGAGATTGCGAAGGAGAGCGGTGTACGCGAGAAGAGATTCATGGTAGTATTGATGCTTCTCCTGGATGGTGCCTTCCGAGGGAAAAGGCAGACTTCCGTCGTAGTACATCCAGATCTGAGCGGTTGTCGCGAGAAGCTCGAATTCGAAACTCCACGTGTAAAAATCCTTTCCGTCGAAAGGAATTGAGGTCTTCAATTTTGAAGTCAGTACAAATTTGGTTTGCATTGAAGCGATGTCTGACTGCGACCGTTGTGGGTTGTCTTGTGCAGGAGCTGACCCTTGACGATTGTCAAAGGTGAAGGATCTCTCGGAGTTGACGCGGCGGTCTTCTCCAGGGAGAGGAAGTCCAGCAACGCCACGTGCATAGCTTGAGCCATCAATGCTCATAGCCTGATGGCTTTCAAGAGCGTTGATGCGTGCGACTAGCTGCTCAACGACAGCGGCGCTGACGGAGGTCACCGCTGATGGCGCGTTAGTAGTTGCTGGTGGTGGGCCCGGTGAGTCTGCAGTAGCTTTCCCTTCAGGAGCCATAGTGTTGCAGACCTTAAGATATAATAATTGATTTTATGAAGAGGTTGTTCTGGAAGGAACGAGGGCTTTGACAAATCCTATAATCCACTCTAGCTCTCATACCATGCTGATACAACCAAAGGATCCAGTGGATAGGATAGAATGTGTTAAGCCTGAGAGGAGACAATGAAGTCTCTGTAGTGACCTTGTTGAATAATAGTTGAAAGAGAACAAGATGATTAGAAGGTAGGAATACAAGGAATTAAATAAAAATCTAACTAGCCATGTACTATGAGGGGTACATTCCCTTATTAACTGTATTGCATAGCTACAGTAACCACGACTATTGCTATCATCGACAGTTACCGTGTTGCAGGCTGTTAACTGTCGCGCGGTTACTGGATCGTCAAGGGTCACGACCGTTGACTTTCTCAGACGGTTGACCTTCGGGTGACCCTCGACATTCCGCGTGCTCTATATGAGCTATTGCGGTACTGGTACAGTGGAACACCTTCAGGAATGCTTCATATAACCTTTCGGTTATTCCAACATTCTTGAAGGGGGGGAGGGGGGGGGGGGAGTGTAAGGAATTTTCTCGGCATTCCTTACGGAGTCCGGCTACATCGCGTACAGCAACAGCCGTTGTTCGCCCGTTACTGCTAACGGGGCTTCGCCAACTTCGCGCGCACTGTTTTGCCAAACCTCGCACTGCTGGCCCGGCCGTGTCGGCCTACGCTTCGGGACTAGCCCGAGCCTCGCTGCCAGCGTAGCACTAGTTAGTTCGCACGCGCCGCGTTACCGTTTGCATGTTTCGCGTATAAATGTTCGCTCATGCCTTCGCTCACATCTTATACTCATTTGAGAGCTTAGTGCAATCCTCATCCGTAACAGTAGCACAGTCCACACCCATTAGTTGAACGCCACCATCGCACTGAGCACACCATACGTTTCGCCTACCTCGCCGAAATTCGCCAGGGGGAAAAATGGGACACAAACGCGCAAGTGGAGGGCTTGACGAACTACGGTGTACGGTTTTCAGAATATCCGAGGAAGGGACAGTTCGATAAGCGTGATAAGCACTTCGATCTGACGGCTACGATATACTGATGTGACTGTACATGAGGGGTCGTTGTTTACAAATAATGTCGGACCATGTGGAAGCCAGAGCGTTCTTTCCCTCGTCGGTGTTGTCGCGAAAATGCGCGGCGAAAATGCGAAACGGACTAGTCATACGCACATCATTAACGTATGGGACAAGCATCGTACTTGAGGGTTGCAGGGTTGACGGACCCGCCAGTCGGCTCCATGGAAGAATCCAGGACCGTCGGACTCAGTCGATTTCGAGACGGGACAGTGTTGCGAATCCAGGGCAATCGGACTCGCTGGCCAGTCTCAGTGTCGAGAACTCTCCAGTCATTCTTTGGCACAACTGTATACCCGCTACTTTCAGAGTCAGCTAGCTTCGCACGCATCACGCTCGTTTCGAAAGCAGCACCTTCCGCTAGTCGTGTGTTTCCGCCAGTCGTGTGTTTCCGCCAGTCGTGTGTTTCCGCCAGTCGTGTGTTTCCGCAGTCGTGTGTTTCCGCCAGCAAGATTAACACGCCGAGCATCAGCCTTGCCACGTCATCATGGCGTTCCTCGCCTGCGTGCTGCTACTCGCCGCGCTCCTCTCCCCCGCCGCGACCACCGGCACCGCCACCTCCACGGCCCTGGATGGCGCTCATAGCAGCAGTGCGGTAACCAAGCGCCTGTCGCGGCGTGCCTCGGTAGATGCGACCTCATACGTCGCAGACCTACGTCGTCCGTTCGTCGCTCGTCGCCTGAGCGACGGAGTGGCGCAGCCAGCCGCGGCGAGCCCGCCGGGCGATGTGAAGCTCGCACCCTCGCAATGTGAGTCGCCTTTGTACGCGATATAAACGTCAGCCACGATCATGGTCATAACCAGTTAGTATACCGCTTTGACATGCGCCATTGCCTCGCCTCCCGGTCATGACGACGTGATCGCAACTCCAAAGGCTTCTTCTCCTCCCCTCCTCTCTCCTTTTCCCTCTCTCTGGCCCCTCCCCTTTCCCTCACACTCCGCCTCCCCCTTCCCGTCCCCCTCCCCTCTCTGGCAGTGGCGGCGCTGGTGGCGCTGACGGGGTGGGAAGCGGTGGAGATGTGCTCCCAGTGGATGGGCGTCACGTGCGACGGGCAAGGCATGGTCACCAAGATGTGAGACACATGCTGGCTTCAGGAATGTATGCTGCTGTGGGGTCTAACAGGCGCTCTGTGTGTGTGCGTGCATGCGTGTGTGCATGTGTGCGTGTGCACTGGTGTGCATGCGTGTGCATCCTTTCTTCCCCACCAATATAGCTCAAGTCAATCTCCATCTTTCCTGTCACCCCATGCATGCTGCATGCGGCTGTGCTGCGCGCTCTGCTACCCCATTTATGATTCGCTGTGCTTCAGAGAGTTCCAAGAGCTCATCTCTGCGGGCACCCTCACCCCGCCTGGACGCCTGCCCGCTGACATTGCTGCCTTCACTGCCCTCCAAGTCCTGTCAGTCCCGCCTTCCAATCTCCTTCTCGCCTAACACTCCCCTCCCCCATTCTCCCCACCCTCCTCCACCCAACCTTTTGATATGTTGGGAATGAAAACACACGTTTCGCTCTTTTTTTTCCATTGGCTCACTCACTTTCGTCAGGCCATCCACCCCACTACGAGCACCCCCTCAGCCGTCTCGTCTTCTCCTTCCCTGCAACCCATCTGCGTGTCACCAGGAACCTGGCCGGCCAGAACCTCTCGGGCCCCATCCCCATGGACGCATTCCGCAACCTCGCTGCTCTCCAGGAACTGTGAGCTGCGCCATGCATTTTTTTTCCTTTTCTTTTCTTTTCTTTTTCTTTCTTTCATTGTCAAGAACTTGCAACCTCAGGGGCAGTCACCATCCATGCTCCGCCTCGTGCTCCTTTCCTCTCTTTCTCATCCTGTGACCGATAGTCCTCATGCTCACAAACCTCTTCCTCATCTCCCATCAACCCTCTGCACCGCACCGCCCTGCAGCGATCTCTCCTCCAACCCTTTGACCGGCAGCCTCGAGTTTCTTTGCTTCCTGCCGTTCCTGCAATACCTGTACGCCCCCGCTTATCTCCACTTCACTTCTCCTTGTGTACTGAATCCCCTTTTTAGAGCTTTCAACCCTGCACGGCTGTTCATCCCTTCCACATATGCCAACGCTCAATCGCTTCTGTATTGTCTCAACACACCCTTAGTCTCACGCAAGCGCACTCAGCCCAACCTTCCCCCAACCCGTGTGGCCCTCCCCACACACGGCAGCGATCTGCACGGCACTGGGCTGACTGGGGAGATCCCCACTGCGCTCGGCAAAGCCACCGCCCTCTCATACCTGTGAGTCACCACCTTCCCTCCCTGCTCTGCCCTCTCGCCCTGTGGAGCGTACAGGTGTGAACAACAGGGGAGGTGTGTGAAAGGCGTGAGAGGAAGCATGCATGTTAGTTCAGAACGTGGGTTATTGTTTTTGTTGTGTTGAAGTTGAGGGCCATCTGCACTGATGTGTCCCTCCCTCCGACTTGTGTTCTCTGTTTTCACTTGTGCCTTGGCTCGGCAGTTCCTCTCTAGCGTGTGTTCTATATCGCTGCACTGTTCAATCACATTTTCGTTACTCAGCGGTCGCTTTGACTATGGCTTTCCTGTCTCCACGTTTCCTCCCGTCCCTTTTTCTCAACCCTAAAAAACAAGACATTCTCCTCTCATCTCCTCTCCTTTCTTCCTCTCTTCTCCTTTACCCCCCTCTCCTCTCCCTGTTCTCCGCTCTCTGGTCTCTCCTCTCTTTCCTCCTCCTCTCTTCCCCCACCAGCTCCCTCGCATACATCAACCTCACTACAGCAGAGCTCCCTGCCTCTCTCTCCGCCCTCACCAATCTCGCCCACCTGTACGTAACGGCCAGTGAGGGGTAGATACTGGATACAGACCCAATTCCACCCACGAGTTGTGGACTTACAACGCGGCTTGCTGAGGCCCTCTCTGCTTCGCTCTGTGCCTCGCCCTCTCTCTGCTTGCTGCGTTGCACCAACTAGGGTGTAACGCAGAGCATCATGAGTTGGCGCATGATTGCTTGTTGCTCATTCAGGCTGGGCTGTAAAGCTTAGCCGGCAGCGGTGCAACGGATGGTCGTGGATGGCTGATCTCCTTCCTCCTTGATATCTGCTGATGCAATTTCTACTGATGCAATATCCCAGTGATCAGGGAAAGTAGCTCATATTGCTTGTGCGTGCCAGCAATGTTACCTTACCAATCACGCCCCTTCCTGCCCTCCCCCATGGAGCAGTGACCTGAGCTATCTCAAGGTCACCAGCGTGCCATCGTGGATTGCACGACTCCCCCACCTGCAGTTCCTGTAATCACCACTCCACCAACCCTGCTCTGTCCACCCATTGCTTTTTCTTTTTGCCAGCATTGTTTCTCAGGTGTGAATCTCACGTTGCTCTAGGCTCTAGCAATCCTCTCACGTCACTCTCACGTTGTCGACCCCTCGTTGCACTATTGCACTGCACCACCCACCCACCGTGCTCTCTGCACACCACGCACCGTGCTATTTCCACACCACACCACCCACTGTGTTCGCTCCTCATCAACCGCCCTGCTCTCTCCTCACCACCCACCGTACTCCCTCTTGTCTCTCCTCTCTTCAGGGGTGTGACTCTCACGTTGCTCTAGGCTCTAGCAATCCCCTCACGTTGTCGACCCCTCGTTCCAGCACTGCACCACCCACCCACCATGCTCTCTGCACTGCACATCACGCACCGTGCTATTTGCACACCACCCACTATGTTCTCTATTCACCACCCACCTTACTCCCTCTTCTCGCTCCTCTCTGCAGGGATGTGACAGCACCCGACGGCCTCACCCCTGCCCGCTCCTCGCCCTTTCCAGCCGAGTGGACAGCTCTCACCAGCCTGAACACCCTGTGAGCTGCCTTCCTGCCCGTCCACCTGTCTGCGTGCCTGCTGCTCGCGTGTCACTCTGCCTGCTGCCTACGAGTCACCTTGTTATGTGTATCGAGGCCACGAGACGAGGATTGAGCATTGTATCCCGCTCATTTCATCTGAACGAGCCTGTTTGGCAGCCCTTTCACCCTCTGTGTGCGTCGAATGATTCCGGTTTCCAGCTCCCCACTCATTTACAACTCCTGCCTCTCTTCTCTGCTCTCTCCACACCCCACCCCACTCTCCCCCCCATCACAGGAGGGCAGCGGGTAACGGCCTCTCAGGCTCCCTCCCCGCCACCATCTCCGCCCTCACTGGCCTCTCAGAGCTGTACGCCTGCCAGGAGCTGTACTCTGTACTCAGCACCTTTCGCGTCTTTAGCACACTCGTGCCTTACCCCACCACCATCTCCGCTCCGCCCTCACTGACCTCTCAAATCAAAGCTGTACGCCACGCCTCTCATGACCGCTCGGGCACCTTTCTCATTACCACACTCGTGCCTTACTCTTACTATGTTGCACATTCGCAGCAACAGTACCGTTGTGCCTAGTATTCTGTAACCTGAACTGCGCAGCATCTCTCCCTCGCTCTCTGTGTGCCTGCTGCCTGCCTGCCTGCCTGCCTGCCTCTCTGCCCGTCTGCCCGCCTGCGTGCAGGGATCTCTCCCATAACGCCCTGGTTGGCTCGCTGCCTTTGCTGCCCTCGTCTCTGATTCTCCTGTGAGTAAACCAAGAGGAGAGTTCGGCTGGGGAGAGGAGAGGCATGTGGATGCTGGGCTATAGTGACTGTGCTCCTGGGCTCCCTCCCTCCCTGCCTGCCTGCCTTGTCCGTAGACCCCTGCTGCTGGCTAATTCCTGAATCTGCTGCTGACTGTTCTGAATCTGCTGACTGTTCTGTTCTTTTTTTTTTTAAGGCGCGCACACGGCGGAGCAAGCATCTCTGCTCTCCTCTCTGCTCTCCTCTCTGCTCTCCTCTCTGCTCTCCTCTCTGCTCTCCTCTCTGCTCTCCTCTCTGCTCTCCTCTCTGCTCTCCTCTCTGCTCTCCTCTCTGCTCTCCTCTCTGATCTTCTCTGCTTGCCTACGATCCTGCCACACTTGTCCATTTGAATCAAACAGCGCATGCTTCCTGCTTTCCTTCACAGCGCGCACGCACATACATAAGTTCGCATGGACGTTCCTCCCCAATAGCCCAACTGCTGTGCCCCCTTGCGTTGCCCCCCATTTCCCCATTGCTCGCTCTGGTCAGCCCCCGTTCCCCGATTGTCCCCCATTCCCCCCGTCCTCCCATTGCCCCTACTGCTCTCTGGTCAGCTCGTTGAACCACAACGCCCTGGAGGGCCCCTTCTCCGCCTCTCCTGCTGCCCCGCAACTCCTGGAGGTCATGTGAGTGGCGGGTTGCGGGATGGGATGCATGGGCATGCATGCGAGGCATGTGGGGCATGGGATGCATGGGATGCATGGGATGCATGGGATGCATGCGAGGCATGGGATGCATGCGAGGCATGGGAGGCTACGATTTCATGATTAGCGTCCACACGCGTCTGACTGACCCACTCCATCTCTCCCGTCCCACAGGCAACTGAGCCACAACCGTTTCACATGGCCCACTCCAGCATCACTCTCAGGCCTCGCTGCCCTTGTCATTCTGTGAGTCCCTTCAACCCACCCACTTATGGCACCTCCATCTCCCACCTTCGTGCCACCTTCATTTCCAGCTGTCAAGTCATGGCTGTGCTTATCTTGCAGTACCAAGCAGTACCAAGTGTGGGTCAGATGATGCACCACCCCCAACACAACACCCCCAAACAGCCCCTATATTCAACTCACTTCCTTCCACACGCACACCACCCTCCCACACACACACTCATATCTTGGCTTCTTCTGTCATCTCCCCCGCCTCTCTCCCCCCCTCCATGCCATCTCTCACGGCAGGGATGTGAGCTACAACGATCTGTCAGGGCCCATCCCACCATCCTTGACAAACCTTTCTGCGCTCGTCAATGTGTAAGCCCCATGCATTCCATTCCACGTGTGGCATCACTATCTCCCCCCTCCATCGCAAATGTGTAAGCCCGCTGCATCCCCTTCCACCTTAGGCACCTCCGCCTCCCACCTTCCTCTCCCACTTCTTTCCGTCGCAAATATTCAAGTCTGCTCACCCCATACCTGCCATCCCCATGCCTCACCCCTGCCATGCCGTGCCCATGCCCATGCCCCATGCCCATGCCCATGCCCCATGCCCATGCCCATGCCCCATGCCCATGCCCATGCCCCATGCCCATGCCCATGCCCATGCCATGCCCATGCCCCATGGCCACCCACAGGGACATCAGCCACAACGCTCTCTCTGGTGGCCTAGATGTGCTTGCACGCATGACCAACATCTCCACGCTGTGAGCACCGCACTGCATTGCGTTGCACCGCGATGCATTGCGTCATGCCTGCGAATGAGTTTCGGGCATCCTCCTCGCCTCGCTGTGCCGTGCCCTGCCCCTTGTCTCTTGGTCTCCTCTACTGCTCCTCCGTCTCCATTGCAGCTCGGTCTGGTCGTTTCCCTTAGCTCCTGCGTGCCATATCCGTTTGCACCCCCACCATCCTCGCTGCCGATTCGCCTGCCCTCCTGTGTTGACCCCTGCCCTGCCCTGCCCTGCCCTGCCCTGCCCTGCCCTGCCCTGCCCTGCCCTGCCCTGCCCTGCCCTGCCCTGCCCTGCCCTGCCCTGCCCTGCCCTGCCCTGCCCTGCCCACCACACAGCAACATCGGGTCGTGCAACTTGTCAGGCGCCTTCCCTACTCCCCTCGCACAGCTCGCACTCGCCGACCTGTATGACACGCGTCCTCCCCACGTCACTCATGCATCTACCCCACTCTGCTCCCCCACGCTGCTCCCTCACTCTGCTCCCACAATGCACACCACACATTCACAATCAACATCCTTCCATCCTTCCTCCTACACCCCCTACTCCTCTCCCCCCACCCTCCATGCAGCTTGCCCATCTTGCCCTCCCCAACCTCACTTCGCACCCTGTTTCTTAACCTTCCTGCCCTCCTCTCCCCGTCCTCCTTTCTGCCCCCGCCCTCCCTTCCCCCCCTTGCCTGTCCTCTCTCTCCTCTCTGCAGCGACATATCCAACAACAGCTTCACGGGGCCCTTCCCCTCCGCCATGCTATCTGCACCGCAATACAAGAGGCTGTACGCATGCGCACATGCCCACCCCTGCTGCATGCTCTCTCACTCCAGTCTCCAGCACTCTCCCATCACACGTGCCTCTCCCATCTCGTTTTCAAATCTGGGTCTATAAAGTGTTTCTCTTTCTTTCTTGCGTTCTTCCTTTTGTTCCTTTGAATGTCCAATGTCTTAGCCCAGCTCGTATGCTGAATTGCATTCAGCTAGCAACGGGCTTATGTGATTTGCTCAACCCCCTGTGCTGCCTGCCTGCAGCAATCTATCAGCCAACAACTTCTCGGGTCCACTGCCCGCACAGCTCACATCGCTCTCAACACTCAACAGCCTGTGAGCCCACCGTCAATGCGGTGTCTCCCGCATTCTTGCATGCCTTTGGGTCACAGCTTTGACAATCTTGTTCTCGATGTAGTTTATGCTGACAGTGCTGGTTTAAACCCCCTCCCTGGGCCCCCTCCCCTCTCCCCACTCCCCCCTCGCCCGCCCCCCTCCCTCAATGCATCCCCACCCGATCAGTGACATCTCTCACAATCACTTCACTGGAGTAGTGTCCCCTGCCGTCTTCACCCTGCCTTCGCTAACAGCCCTGTAAGCCCATCCCTTCCATCCACCCTCCCCATGCATCCCTTGTCTCTGCCGTGCATCTTTCCCTGCTGCTGCCTCGCATCCTTTGCTGATGCCATGTGTGCTTGCTTCACCTCTCTCTCTCCCCAACCCACTCCCCCTCCCTCTCCCCAGCTCCCTCGCGCACAACCAGCTGGAGGGCTCCCTGCCAGCAACCGGCCTGTGCGAGGACCTCATCTCTCTGTATGCACACTTGCCGGGACTAGTACACGCTGGTGGGGATGGACGATGAGGATGCACAGTGGGTTGAGCTTGCGCACGCACACATGCCGGGCTGGGACTAGACAGGGCTGAATGCCCTGTCCAGTGGGGATGGGCTTCACTTGACCACGTGGAGCAACGTGGAGCATAGCAAAGTGCTTCGTCCACACTTGCCTCTCTCCCCTGCCTCCTGCCTCCGTACCATCTTCTGTGGATTCATGCACCTGTTTCTGCACGCCCTGTCGCTTTCCTTACCTGGATGGCAAGTCAACCGTTGACAGTACGACTCCGTTTTTATGACCTCACGTTCCGCCCACCCAAGCATGGTGTCTGTCTGCTCAAACCCCGTTTTGCCGCAACGCGAACACCACCCACCCAAGCATAACCACCCTTGCCCCTTCTCTCTCCCCACCTCTTCCACCGTCATGCCATTCCCCTCACCAGTGACATCAGCGACAACAAATTCAGTGGCCCTCTGCCTGAGTCCATCACCCTCCTCATCTTCCTGGAATCCCTGTAATGAATCACAAGGGTGGTGTGGGGGGGAGGGGGGGTGGTGGGGGGGGAGTGGGGGGAGGGGAAGGGGCATGACTAGGGAAGGGCGATACATGCCCGTTCTGTCTATCACCTTGTGCAACTCTGTGGGGCCAATGGCTTGCAGGCACTATGAAGCATCGAGGGTTGCTAGCTGAAGTACTCATTTGTGGGTCGCTAGAATTTGCATGGGATGATGTGCAATGGCATGGCATGGCATGGCATGATGTAATGTGGAATGGCATGGCATGTGATGGCATGAAATGGAATAGCAGGGGCCTTGGAGGCAACAACTTGACTGGTCCCATATCTCCTGTCTTTGGCATCCTGGACAACCTCTATTACTTGTGAGTCCTGCATGCGCCCATGCAAACATGCAAACATGCACCCATGCACCCATGCACCCATGCGCCCATGCACCCATGCCTCGATGCATCCATGCCAGATCTATGTTGCTTGAAGTTAGGCCACCACATGCATGCATGCATGCCACTCTCTCCGCGTATCCCGCGATTATCAGCACATTAGCATGAGGTGCTTCCTCCCCTCTACCTTTCGCGTTTTCACGTCACCTATCTGCATCGTTCCCCTCTGCACCCCCTCACCGCCAGCAACAGCACTGCGTCGGGGCTGACCTGCGCGGCGGACGACAGCGAGTGTGGGGCGAAGCAGAGCACCGCCTCCTCCTTCTGCCGCCTCTGCTCCTCCTTCTGCTCCTCCTGCACGCCCCTCAAGTGTACGTGCCTGTGCCCTGCTGCATGTGGGTTCTTGCTTGCCTGCACCCCCACATGCATGATGTTAAGATGTTCGCACATTACTGTACCTAACAGCTCTCCTATTGTTTTGGTTATTTTAGATGTGTTGCGCATGGGTGTGCATGCAGCTTTTGTGTGCTGGTAGTTAAGTGGTATGTGTCTGTCTGTCACTGCATGCAACTCTGCCCATGCTCCAGGGGCAGCACCCATAGCAGCTCCAACACCCACAGCAGCACCGGCATCGACTGCAGCAGAATCAACCACAGCAGCAAAATTAACTGCAGCAGCGGCATCGCCAGTGCCTCAGCCATCATCTGCTTCCACCCAGACCCCCCCTGCCCCACCTCCCAAGCCTGCTTATCGCCATTCGATGCCCACGGCTGCTGTTTTCAGCCTTGTTGCTGCTGCTGCCCTCTCTCTCCTTGCATTTTCTGTCTGAGAAGAAGCTTCTGCGCATGCTCTTTATCTCTCTTCATGTTTTAGCTTTGAGTGGCCTTGTGGTGGATACGGGTATTACAACATTGAGGCAGCAACTAGATTAGCCATAAAGGAAATGTGCCCCTTACGAGACTATGATCTATGGCATAGTTTCACCCACATTCTTCGTTTTACCTACCGATTTAGTTTCAGTTTCTGACACACCCACTATTATATCACATTGATGTACGGCACAAGCGTAGATGACTGGAGTTCACTCCCTTGTACCGTATGGTTGTGCAACGGGCACCTTTGATTCTTTTGATAGTTGAAGTAACACTGCATCAATTTCAAATTTTATTATTTTCAATCAGATCATTAAAGCTAGTACCCTATCATCGTATCTAGGACTATTTCTAACTATCCAAGCATCATCCCCCGCAGCCACACACCAGCCTCAAACCTTGAACAAGCAGAGCCGGCAGATTTGAGCGAGCAAGAAGGAATGCAGCAAGGCGGCGTGCACCCATCCCCTTCCATCCACCAAATCCAGCCAGCATCCCAAACACCCTTACAGGCAGGGTGCAAAAAGTGGTGCTCCTCCGTTCCGTCCCACTCTCCTTGCCTCACCCCACAGTCACGCCATTCCAGCTGCATTTCCCCCTGCTGCTGCTGCTGCCCCTCTCGCCTCCCTCTTCTCCACCCGTCACGCTCACCACCACCTGCCACTCGTGCTCTTCCCCGCGCTGCTCCCCCCGCTGCCCCCGAAGGCGCGGATCATGGCGAGGTGGTTGCACACGTGCGCCATGGTGAGCCTCTCCTCCACGCGCACTCTCAGCATGCCGCTCACCAGCGCGCGACATTCCTCAGACACGCCCTCCCACGCAGCCCCCTCCACACACGCCCGCCACTCGCCCTGCTGAGGCGCCTCCCCTGAGTAAGGTCGCTCGCCCGCAATCATTTCGTACAGCGTCACCCCCAGCGACCACACGTCAGCTGCGCGCCCATACCCCGCCGGCTCTGCGCTTCCTACCTCCGCTCTCCCCGCTGCTTTTCTGGCGTGCTTGGCGGCGCGCGGGGCGGGCGGGCAGCGCGGGCGGCAGAGAGCCTCCACCTCAGGCGCCACGTACCCGGGCGTGCCTGCGGGAATGGTGCACCCGCGCTGCCCCTCCCCCACCACCTGCGCCAACCCAAAGTCCGCCAGCCGCACTGCCCCCGCGGCCAGGCGGGGGGCAGCAGGAGAGGCGCGCGCAGGCGCAGCAGGAGCAGCGGCGGCGGAGAAAGGCAGGGGCGCGGAGAGGGGCGTGGGGTGGGCGAAGAGGATGTTGTCGGGCTTGATGTCGCAGTGCACCACGCCTCGCTCGTGGCAGAACGCCACGGCGTCGCCCACGTGCTTCACCACTTCCAGCGCCTCCGCCTCCGCCATTCCCGCTCCCCGCTCGCCTTCCCCGCTCGCCTTCCCCCACCACCGCCTCCCCTTGCCTTTCCCCGCGTCCCCCGCGTTGTCGCTGGCGGCAGCCTTGCGTCGCTGCAGCAGGGCGCGGAGGTCGCCGCCGTGGCAGACATCGGAGAGCATGTACGCGTGGTGGTCGGCCAGATGCACCTCGCGCACGCCCAGCACGCCCGGGCACTCGCTCAGCGACGCCGACAGCATCGCCTCGTTCGACGCCGCCACCAGCTGCTTGCGCGCCACGCGCTTCACCGCCACCACCTCGCCGCTCTCCACTCGCCGCATCGCCACCACGGTGCCGAACCCGCCGCGCCCCAACTCGCCCGTTGCCTCGAACAGGTCGGGGTCGAGCACGCCGTCGTACGCGCTCAGCACGACCGGCCGACGGCACGCACGCGGGGCAACGGGTGTAGCAGCGGCGCGGGGAGCGGCGGGAGGCGCGTGGACAGTAGCGGGCACCGGTTTTGCGGATTTAGCGACAGCAGCGGCAGAGTCGCCGGAGCTGGAAAGCGTCGAAGCGACGGACGAATCCGAGAGGTCCGACGAGGCGACGAGGTCAACGTTGACCGGCGTGGTTTCCGTTGACGAGGTCAACGCCTCTGACGGCGCGTACCACGACGCCGTGACGAGACCTGCCAACACAAACGCGGAGGAGAAACGGTTGGCACTCGCGTGCTAACCTAACTCTCTCTCGCGTCTACCTGAAAAGACAGAGGGGTTTTCTGGAAAGAGGGAAAAGGGGGGGAGGTAGAAAAGGGGGGGTCGAGGACCAAGGCTCGCGTTATTCTCGACGAAAATGTCAGGTAGAAAAGGGCGGTTGAGAAGACGAGTGAGACTAAGCTTCAAGTCATGAAAAGATCGGCTGCTTACCTTCCAGCTTAGTCTCGTGCTCGTGCGCTTCGGTTCGGCCTTCGTTGATCGCTTTCGCCAACGACTTGCACGAGAAAGCGGAACTATCAACCGACGGCTGGGCCATCCAGATCTCCATGGCGAGGAGCGTACGAAAGGGATTGATAGCTACTGGTAAAGAATCCCGCGCTGTTTCAGAGAGTGAGACTTGTAAGTCTCTCAGAGTCTATTTCAGACTTATGTGAGATGGTCACAACAACCAAGCAGAAGCTCAATAGTTTTGAGGAAGTCGTGCAAAGAGACTTGTGTGCGCTGAGCGGAGACGAGAAAGAAGTGGCTCAAACGGCCAGACTTGTACTGGCAGGCAAACATTCTCCACAAGGGGAGTGAGGAGGAGGTTGGGAGAGCGGCTCGACTGCTGGCGATGACTTCGCCGGAGGAGCAAAAGTCGGCCCAGCGAGAGTCCCGGAAACATACCACTTTGAAGTACGCCCGAACCTGTCAAGGCTCGTCACGAGCCCAAGCCTGACCACGAGATGTGCTTCGCCACAAGTTAGCCTACGCATTACGCTAGGCTGTTCAGGGGAAGAGTTGAGTTCTGCCAAGCCCAGACTTTCAGCGTGAATGGTTCCAGGCCTCTTGCCGAACCTCAATCAGCGTTGTTTCCGAACCTATAATTCATTTATTGACTCCGTTGTCCAAGTCCGGTTTGGCGGGAAGACGAAAACACCGCCCCGTTAGACTCGCGCGGTTCGTGGAACGTTTCAGAGCAGTAACTCTACACCTGTTACACATAAAAAACTGTGTAATGAATATGAATTCATTACTGTAGAGGCTGCTCCTAGCGAGGACAGCCCGAACTGTTCGATTCAGTCTGGGCTCGGCCAAAACTTTCATACCGAACCAGCGCCGAGTCTCTCCGCACCAATCGCGACACTTCCAAACCAACCACGTCCCGAGGCCCTCGCCTAGCACGGGTTCGACTCTATAAATGCTTGTTCTTTTATCATATTCGTCATTCTGTAGTTCACATCCTTTTTATAAAGTCTGACGCGCACTATGTTAGTACAACTCATAACACTTGGTATCAGAGCTACTTTCCTAGGTTCTCGTTTTTTGGAGTGTAATACCCCTCGGGTGGGGGACGGGAAGGATGCCGTGGGGTCCAGGAGCTGCGCGATAGCCGCCAGGAGAACGGATAGTTGCTCCTAGCGGCCATGACTTTCATAGATTGACGGAAAATCATGGCCGCTGCACTTCCGGAAATGCTTAATTAATTCCCTGCTTACTCCAACACAGAAATTGACGTCGAAAGTCTTTATTTCTTATCCTAATCAATACGCTTCCCAATCGTATCCAAATGTGGATGAAGAATCTATGTATATATATTTATTAGGTCTACAAACCTTACCAACTTCCCCTCCCTCATTTTTAACGTACATCGCCAACCCCGTAACGCGTTCAGGGTGGCTCGTTCCTGTTTGTTGCGAGTTTGTTCAAAACGGTTCATTCTGGTACGCAATGGTCAAAAGCGGTATAAGCCTTGAACCGTGCCTAAATCTCATCGACCGTATTGAACCGAACCTGAAGTATGTCCTTCCTCATCAAGCGATGGTACGCGTTTGTCCAGATAAATCACTTCCCGCGACTCCCGCAACCCAGGTGATCACGCTGCTGGTACGGGAGGCGAAAGCTGCTCTGCTTGCGCCCCGCCGCGCAGTTTGAATCCCTCGTCATCCATTAAGATTGGCTAGCTGCACGCTGAGCGCCTAGTACCTACAACGCCTTCCTCCCGCCATCGCGCCGCCCCCTCGTCCATCCATTCGCGTTCCTCCCCCTTTGTGCCCATCATGACGACATTCGCCACACCCCCAATTGACTCCTCACTGCCCCAACGCCATTGCGTAGTCCACCACATGCACGTTTCTGAGCCTCCGCGCAGCGCCGATCCCCCTGAGATTCCTGCGTCCCCCCCACTCCCCTCTCACTTCCTCCTTCCGCGGAAACGCTCTACAGGATCCGCGAATCAGATGCTAGGAATAATAAATCAGAATGTGCGATTGACCGCTCGCTATCAACACATAAATTGACGCCCGCTCCCGAGGGCTCAATCACATTCTCCCACCGCTCCACGCTCATTGCGTGCCTTCTTCTCCTTCTCAGTCGCTCCTTCTCAGTCGCTGCACCTTCAAGGCCCCACCCTATTCACCTCGTCGCGACTACCAGCGGCGTGAGTCCCGGCGGTTCAGCTCTGGTCGGAAGCTTTCCGCCATTCCGCCGCCATCACCATCCGCGCCTCCCCGCCTTCCCGTTTCCCCGCGCCGTCGACTGTCGCCATGCAGCCCTGCGCGCGCCTGTCCGGCCTGTGTGGCCTCGCCGCACTCGTCGCGGGTCTCGTTGCCATCAGCTTCCTCGCGACCCACGCCAGCGCCGCTGCTGGTGAGTAGGCTGACTGAAACACACCACGGGCAGTATTCTTGTAGTGATGTCGAGTGGATGAGTGCTGGAGTGCGGCTGAGCAACTCACAATCATAGCAGAATCTGTCTCGTTTTGACCCCCTTTCCCTTTCCCTGTGTGCTCGTGTGTGTGCTTCTCTGCCCCTTACTTGAAACAATCACGATTTCTGTGCAGACCTGTGTGCGAACGAGGATTGTGGGGAAGGCACCTGCGCTGTTGATGTAGACAATGACATACCCTTGTGCGTGTGCAAGGACGGTTTGGTATTCGACGACGACCACAAGACATGTGTTGCGGGTGAGTGAGTGCTGGTGTGTGGGTGAGTGAGTGCTGGTGTGTGGGTGAGTGAGTGCTGGTGTGTGGGTGAGTGAGTGCTGGTGTGTGGGTGAGTGAGTGCTGGTGTGTGGGTGAGTGAGTGCTGGTGTGTGGGTGAGTGAGTGCTGGTGTGTGGGTGAGTGAGTGCTGGTGTGTGGGTGAGTGAGTGCTGGTGTGTGGGTGAGTGAGTGCTGGTGTGTGGGTGAGTGAGTGCTGGTGTGTGGGTGAGTGAGTGCTGGTGTGTGGGTGAGTGAGTGCTGGTGTGTGGGTGAGTGAGTGCTGGTGTGTGGCCCAGTGCGCGCGTGTGGGTGAGTTGACAATGATAAGCAACAGTTCTACCCGTTTAAGCCGCTCTCCCTGCTTCACCTCGGAACCCCCAATCACTTCCTCTGCAGACCCGTGTACCGACGGGGTGTGTGGGTTAGAGGCTTCCTGCACCACTCTCGGTCCTGCCGACTTCCTGTGCAATTGCAACAAGGAAGGCTTTGCCTTCAACGAGGCTGACAAGACGTGCTTTGGTGAGTGCTGCACTGCTGAGCTGTAGACTTTTCATTTCTTGAGGCACTCGCATGTTAGCATCTCAGCGTTTCCACAGGCTGCACTGGGAGGCAAGGCTTGGAACGTCCACCCCTCCTCACTCCTCCTGCACCTTCCTCTCCCCCCCCCGTCCCTTCCGCTCCTCTACCCTGTCCCCCCTCCACCTCGACGCCTTCAATTCCCCACCATCATCACACAACCTTCAACGGTCCCAACGGTCTAATCTGCTGGGCAGCCCCGCTGGCGCGCACGACGGTGGCACTGAAGGCAACAGGCTACGGCCTGAGGGACGCCTTCTTCTTGTCGCCGCTGCCGCCCGAGCAGGCCAGTGCCAGTGGCACCATGGCGTGCGGCAACCTAGACATCATGCTGGAAGGCAGCACCACCATCACGGCCGTGTGGAATGCCTCCAACCCCACCTCGCCTATGGACGACGCGCCCAGCAACGCCATGTGCAAGAGCCTGTCGTTCTATGCTGAGTCGTTCTGCAAGGAGAAGCTGGGGTTTACGATCGCGCGACCTGTGAAGAAGGGCAGTTCCTACCCCGTCACAAAGAAGTGAGTGCGCGTGATGCACACGGCTAGTGCGGCGTATTCTGATGGGCGTATGGCCGTGTGCTTGCAGCACATAGTAGGATGCTTGCAGCACACAGTAGAATGATTGCAGCACACAGTAGAATGATTGCAGCACACAGTAGGATGCTTGCAGCACACAGTAGGATGCTTGCAGCACACAGTAGGATGCTTGCAGCACACAGTAGGATGCTTGCAGCACACAGTAGGATGCTTGCAGCACACAGTAGGATGCTTGCAGCACACAGTAGGATGCTTGCAGCACACCGTAGGATGCTTGCAGCACACAGTAGGATGCTTGCAGCACACAGTAGGATGCTTGCAGCACACAGTAGGATGCTTGCAGCACACAGTAGGATGCTTGCAGCACATAGTTGCAGCATGAATGGAGTGAATGTCATACCTTTGGTCCTCATCTTTGGTCTTCCCTATCCTTGCGTCTCCCTCTCTCAGGACTGTCAAAGGAATCAAGTCGCTGCTATCAGTTGGCTGCGAGATCAGTAAGTGCAAGCGGATGCACAATACTAAGGTTTCTAAGCACGCAATCTTCTTCTTTGCTCATTCTGACAATATCAATGACAATGGATAGATGCTGTAAGAAACATCGAGAGACACAACCAACCTCTTCTTTTGTGGTTCTTTTTTTCACCTCCCTATCCCTCAACTGGTTCTTTTTTTCACCTCCCTATCCCTCAACTGAAAAGCTATCCTCTTTCTCTGCATGCCTGGATTGCTTGTCCCTCTGTGGTGCTCACAACAGCCATGTGCGAGAATGATTGTGGAACTGCACGGTGCGTTGTGAAGGAGGGCCAGCCGCAGTGCCAGTGCCCCGAGGGCCTCGTGTTCAACGCAGCCAAGAAGAGCTGCCTCGACCCGTCTCTCCCACCTCGTCGTACGTACCTTCGTCGCTTGTTGCATGCTTGCCAACAAGGAAGAATCAGCTTCTCGAGTATATGGTATCTTGTTGTCTATTTGCGAGTACGGTACACCAATGCACCAAGAGGAGCGGGCTCTGCCATCTTTCTCATCTCATGTCTAACTCTGTTTCCTGCCCTCCATTTGCCCCCTCCCGTTGCCCTCCCCTGTGCCCCCTCCCCTCTATTTGCACCATGAAGGGGCGGGTGGTGGAAAAGCTAAGAATGGGCGAACCTAGTTGGATGGGCAGGGACCAAGGACGTCGGATTGCGGGGGGAAGGGGGGGGGGGGGGGAGGGAAGGGGGGGTGGGGTTGGGGGGCTGATGGAGCAGCGGTCCAAAAAACTGCATGCGTTTGCTCGGAGGCTAGGAATTCAGGAAATGGTGTGCATGACAGGTTGGCTGGATCACTTAGTGTATGGTACTAGAACTGGGATTATTAGTGTGTGTTCTTCCTCCTGGTATGTTGTACAATGTAATGTGATCTATAGATTTTAGTTCCTTAAGAAGGACTGTTTGCTCTGAAAATCTTTCAACGGTGTGCTGCCTTGAATGTCTACGGTAGCTGCTATCCACACTTTTCCTACTCTAAGGGTACATTCCTACGGGGACATTTGTGTCTCAATCTCTTTGTGACTCGGAAAAACAGCATATACTGTACTATTTCACAAACGTGGATCACACTAATGCGATCCCCACTGTATTTTACATTGGTTGGCGTGAATTGCACGGGAAACGCGGACGAGTTACACGAGGCCCCGTCACCTCCCGAAAATCGCACGCGTGTCGAAATGTCACACCGTACAGCATGCACCTGGACGCCCGAATTGGGCACGTTTTCAAGCGGGAAAGGAAACCGCTCTGCCCGGACAGACAGATGACTGGTGCTCCAGACCACACGGTCACATCCCAACCGACTGTGCCCACCGTTCCAACCACGCTAACAGTACTCTTCTGCTCCAATCTATTCTTCTTCTCCAAACCCCTGCTCTCTCTTTCTTGTTGCGTAGTAAAGCCATCGTTCGCTTCCACGCCGTAGCCATGGCTCGTAAGCACAAGAGCGTAGCTAACACTGCTGACTTGTGGCCGCGGGATCTCAACGCGATCCCGTACATTGCTTGGATGAACAAGCCCGCCGGCCCTTTACCCGAAGGAGCGCCTGGTGCGGGGGACACCTCGTTCGAAGCCCCGCGCGACGTCCCTACCCGCGGACCCCGTGATGCCGACCGGGTTGCCTCATCCCGCGTGACGATGAGGCCTTCGATGACGACGCCGTGGACTCTGATTACAACGAGTGCGACGAGGCCTGCGACGAAGACGTAGACTCTGGCGAGGAGGAGGACAAGGGCATGTCCCCCTCCGAGGATGAGATGACGCTGATGAGGACGCCGATGACGACGAGGACGCTCCCGAGGAGGCACAGCCTGCTACCCCGGCTCCCCGTCGCGGCCGTGCTACTGCTGCGGCCGAAAACAAGACTGCCGCGAAGGGTGGAGAACCTCCTCGTGCCGCTGCCAAGACCCGCAACCTCCATCCTGTTAAGCGGAGCGTGTGGTCCTTCCGCGAGAACACGATCTTCGTGGCTGCATGTTGGTTTATGAAGGACGAGCTCGGCCCCCTCCTCGGGAAGCATGGCTCCCCGTACTGGGCCCGCCTCGTGCGCCACCTCGAGCAGGAGAATCCCGGGTGGGTGCGCGGCATGAACGCTCTGCAGAAGGAGTGGCGCAACCTTGTCACCATGTTCAAGCAGATCAAGAAGGGGCAGAAGGCGAGCGGCAAAGGGGCGGTGTGCAAGCCCCCCTGGTACCCGTACATGGAGCTCTTCTAGAACAACAAGGCGGCGGGCAACCCTCACGCTGTTGACGGTGGTGGCCAGGCACACGTCAACGTGCCTTGCGGGTTCGTGGTCCCGTCCACATCTGCACCATGCACCTCTACTCCGACTTTCACTGGTGCGTTTTCTTTGCATCAACGGTTGTTCTCGTTCGATTTTTGTATGACACATTAGGCAAAGTTCATTATGCATGCAAATTTTTGATACATGATTGAATATACTGCACAGCTTCTAATGCTCGCGTGCGGCCACCGTGTGTGCAGCTCCACCTCCGCAGGGTACTCCTACGTCGAAGCGCCCACGTATGGCAGTGACAGCAACGATGGCTGCCGCCAAGCTGGTGTGCGAGACAATCAAAGGCTGCCACTCGGACGCGATGAACAGGCTCGAAGGCCTCGTCCGCGCGTGGATGGAGCATGACGCGCGGATTGCTCGCGAACGCGTGCAGCAGCCCGCCCCCTCCACGCCGGCCGGCGACAACATATCCATGCACGCAGACAACATGACCGCAACGCACGCCGCGAAGGCGGCGACGACGGCTGGCTCCGTAGCGGGCAGGCGGGCGACAACGCCTCTAACCCTGATGCGGGCGAAGAGGTGTGGATTTGCGGCGCCGCCGAGTGAGGTAGGACGACTCCAGAGCCTCGCCCAACCGCTTCCGCCTTTCCCGCAGATTCGCTTGCGTGCACGGGTCACATGACTCCCAATTGAACCCTGCTACCGCGCCACGAGTCCACCATGGGTCCCGGTTTCGTGGCAAGTTTGCGCACGATGCATTGATGCGCCTGACCTCCCCCGTCGTTTCACACATGTTGTGCAGGATGACGCCACAAGGCGCCCCCGCAAGAATGCGCCAGAGCTTGCAGTCATTGCGGCCCGCGAATAGACGCCACTGGCCTTTGAAGGCGCTGATGTAGCACTCTAATGCCATGCGCGTTGCGCTTTGGCAATAGTTAAAGCATTGCTCCTAGTCATCCATTAGGCCTTCACGGGGTGCATGTAGGGGGGTCAGGCAAAAATCCCTGAGTGGGTAAGCAACATCTCCCACTATTTGGTATGGCGCTATGTCGCCGTTGTGCAACCTTTCGTGTAACAAGCTGTTCATGAACACTCTCTGATCGTGCGCACTGCCCAGGTATCCGATCAAATAGTCCCATATGATTCCTTGGGCGTCGCATGTGAGCTGCAACTGGACGGCATAACATGCCTTTCTCGTGTAGTACTCTTGCATGTGCCCCTCCTATCCCCTTCATGTGAATGTGTGTGCTGTCTATAGCCCCCATTACAGCAGGGACCCTTTTGATGGCGCGGAACTCCTCGGCCATCTCATCGAGGTCGTCACGGGTCGGGAAGTGGACCCACTGCTGCTTGAAGACGGACGGGAAATGCAGGAGCAACGCGTCAACAAGCATGTGGCTCCTGTGAGCGTCAAAGCAAGCACACAACTATTTATTGCCTACCCATAGTAGCACTTCTAAGGGCCGCGAGAGCTAGAAGACGGCGACACCTCGTCGGTGAATACGTTCGCCTCCAGCAAGCCGCCGACCGACTTGGCGATGACGTCTATGAAGATGCTGTAGTAGAACGTCACCCATGCGACAAGCAGTCGCATGAGGAATGGCACCTCGCGGGGCTGTGCCATGGTTGCTAGGCAATGGTGCAGTTTTGGCCTGTGATGCTTGTGGTTTTGTATTTGGGGAAGTAGTTGTATACATGCTTTTGTGTGTGGGGTGGTCCAAACAGGCCCGACTCGCCCAAATTGCAACTTTATGTACTGTGCAAGCTCCCCGTGACAATCGTGGCGGGATGATATGTTTTGGCACCCTGCCCGGCGGGAAAACTGGGTGGGCACAATCTGATTGGTCGCAACCAATAGAACGCGCCCACCTGGCCGTGCCCATCTGTCGCCCAGAGTCACGATACGTTGATTGTTTGTGACACAACATTTGGCAAATTTATAGCGGCAGCAGGGGCCGAGGACACAGCCTTCAATGCGGGAGGCAGCGGCGGCTTCAGGGCAGCAGTCTCAGAGGCAGCAACAGACAGGGACCTTCTGCTCACCGCTGACGCAGCGGCAGCGGGCGATGGTGCTGGCCACGGCTCGCCGGCAATCACCATTGCGAGGGAGAGGACGAGGAGCGGGACAGCGAGAAGGAAACGGGGTTGAAGGGGGTCCAAAGAACGCGTTCCAGTCTGCAGGGCGTCGGGCTTTAACACTACCTGATACTGAAAGTAATGAGCGGAATGATCCGTCTTATAGGGAGGAGGCACAGGAAGAGAGTAGCGGCAGTGATGAAGAAGCCGAGGAGGAAGAGAGGGAGCAGTCGAGAGGGAGAAGTGGGAGGAACCAGAGGGGTGCAGTTGGACAATCAGGTCCAAGTGTGGCCCAGAGAGAGGACGAGGGTGAACCGCACGATGGCAATCGTACGGTTGGAATTCCAACCCGGCTGGCCCAGGGAACATCGGGTCGCGCTAGCACAAACCGGGCCGCACATCACCAATCCAACGCGCCTCCAGGCCCACCCCGATATTTTTCGCCAAGCGAACTGGCGAGATAGCGAGTAAGAGTAAGAGTAAGACAGGTCCGGCCGCCAGGGGTGCCATTCGTGCGGGAGGGAGTTAGACTGCTAGGAAGCTTCTTAGGCACCACAGGCGGCGCCACCTCTTTCCTAACAGAACAGCTACGGTCGATGGTGAAGCCGCTCCCGCTGCTCGAACGCACGGATCCGCAAATAGCATCACTGCTACTCATACGATGTATCTCGCGACGGGTAGCTTACCTGACGAGGACAACCCCGCTCAACCTCCTGCCTGGCGAGGCATGGTCACAATGGGTCCGAGACCTGCTCGCCACCCTGCTAGCCGCATGCGGCATATGTTATCCTTCCAGTGAGGCAGAGCAGACGCGGGTGTGGGAGCAGTCTTCCCTGCCGCCGTCCCTGGGCGGGATTCGCATTACAGATCCCACCGTAGAGGGCGTATTCGGTTTCCTTGCTAGTTTCATGCAGGCGTCACTACTGTTGAGCTCCCTGCCGCTGGAACCGGACGACGTGCTGTCCACAGCCAAAAACCACATGTTGCTGCCTAGAGATACAGACACTGCCCTTCACTCTTGGCTGACGGAATGTGCAGCGGCGCTGCCGCTCGACGCGAGGGAAATACTGGAGAAGGAGAGAATAGAACCAGCGGGGATAAGGCTGCAGCACGCCCCCTCGGTTCAGGTTCAGGGGAGGAGATACGCAAAGCAGGTCCGGGAGTCCTGCCACATGAGACCAAACCCGCTTTGTGGTCACACGCAGCGTCTATTCTCCCTCACCAGCTACGGTTCTGGCGATTGGCTGCTGGCGATACAGATTGATCCCACGAGGCGGATAGGAAGGGAGCACTTTGCAAACGCGGTTCGTTTCCGGCTGGGCCTGCCGTTCGCAACACCGGCAAAATGCGATTGCTCGAAGCACGTCGAGATCACGGACCCGAGACTGCCCAACCACCTTTTTCGCTGCGGCACGGGGAAACACAGGATCAACACGCACAATGAGTTGAGGGACGCATGCGTCAGCATGGCACGAGATGCAGGCTTCATCGTGCACACAGAGTCAGCGGCCTAGTGCCCAGTGGACGAGCAGACGGCGGATCTTACGATGATGGATCGGAGCTCAGGCGCGGTCTACATTTGCGATGTAACCATAACGGACCCGATCAGTACCGGGATAAGACGGCGGCGAAGGGCAGGGGATGGGCAGCGAGGGAGCAGGCGGATAAGAAATCCAACACTACGCTAGCCGGCCTGACACTGTGGGATTCTTTCCCCTGGCCGTGGAGACGTACGGGTGCCCATGTGCGGAGGTAACGGTCTTCCTGAAATTGCTGGCGGATTCAGCTGCTAGGCGACATTTCAACGCCGAACCTAACTCCTATCACGCAGCTAGATTCCTCCACCTCTTTCGGTAGAGATGGTCAGTGGCGCTGCAGCGGGCCCAGTCGATGGGTTACCTTATGAAGTCCTGCCAAGCAGCCATGGCAGAGCACCCACCGGTTGGGGGAACGCAACACGAACTCCATTTGGGTGATAGCTTTACAGTGATTGAGCCCCTATTGGAAGTTTAAGGGGGCAGGCCGCAGGTTCCTTGTTAGTTTGTTTGGTTGTTCTATGGTTAGTCTCTTGTGTATTTGATAGACGTTGCATTTGTGTACCTCATATGCTATATCAATGCACGGACCATTAGAGAGAGAGAGAGAGAGAGAGAGAGAGAGAGAGAGAGAGAGAGAGAGAGAGAGAGAGAGAGAGAGAGAGAGAGAGAGAGAGAGAGAGAGAGAGAGAAGAGACTGTGACTGCGCGGACCACACAGCAATCACTGACCCCCGCCTCCCAAACCACCTCCTACGCTGCGGCACTGGCAAGCACCGCATCAACACTCACAATGAGCTCCGCGACGCATGCATCAGCATGGCTCAGGATGCGGGTTTCATAGTCCACAGTGAGTCGGCGGCTCACTGCCCCATCGAGGAGCAGACAGCCGACTTCACCATGACTGACAGGAGCAGTGGGGCGGTTTGGGTGTGTGACGTCACTGTGACGGACCCTATTAGCACGCGGGACCCGGAGGCGCAGAAAGGAAGGGGATGGGCGGCTCGAGAGCAGGCAGACAAAAAGATCCAGCGCTATGCGAAGAGACCAGAGACGGTTGGGTTCTTTCCGTTGGCGGTAGAGACCTATGGCTGCCCTTGTGCAGAGGTCCCCGTCTTCCTGAAACTCCTGGCAGACACGGCGGCTCGGCGCCACTTCAACGCCGATTCTAACTCCTATTATGCCGCTAAGTTCCTGCATCAGTTCAGGCAGCGGTGGTCGGTTGCACTCCAGAGGGCCCAGTCGGTGGGATTGCTCATTAAGCTTGGTGAGGCGGCAGCAGCTGAGAACCCCCCGGTGGGGGGGATTGGGCACAAGCTGCACCTAGGGGATTGCTTTGCTGTTTTGGAGCCACTAGTAGAGCTGT